TTGAAAAACTTAGAAGCAAAGACTTTAACTGTCAAGCAAAAAAATAGAAAATTTACTTTGGATGAAGGTAAAGGAAAAAAGGACTAAGGGAGAAATAAAATTTGACGACTCTTCTAACTCGTCAGTAGATATGGAATATGCTGACACGGATAACGATTTATAGGAAGAAAGAGATTGCATAATCTGCAGTGAAAGAGGTAGGTCTGTAGTCAACAAGCAAAGGTAAAACTGGACTTGTTATTGGTTCTTGTAAAAATGTAGGACCTATTACAAGTATTTTGTTAGTTGCAGAATAAATGCATTTTACTTAAGTTTGTTTACTTTCTGATATAATTGCCTTTATTTCTTAGAATAGGCATACCTCGTCATCTTACCCTCCACGAAGTAAGATGATGAATATGACGTAGATACATAAATTTTAAAATTTTTATTTGAAATATTAATTCTTACGTAATTCTAAATTTACATAATATGTAAAGTACTACTATCAGCCAATTACCTTGTAGTTGCAAGCATTTGGTACAAGGAAAAATATCAGTTCTAGAAATTTTTTAAGCTTACTATCGTCATCTTGCCATCTTTTCCCCTACTAATATAAATCAGTAGTTAAAATGAATAAAAATGATATTAGAATATCTGTACATCAGTTGCGATTAAAATATATTATTTGTCTCATGTCTTTGTGCTTACATATTTTTATAAATATAAATGGTGCTAAATATAAAATTAAACAGCAATACTTTCCAATTTAATAATTTTAATAATACAAAAATTATTTTACTAAAACAAATTTTTACATTCAATAACTTTCCAGAAATTATATAATAGAATATTGCAAGTGTATTGGGTTCAAGTTGGCTAAATGAAGTCGCTCTCTGAAAATTATTAACCTATCTACTATTAATATCTGGCACGCGATTCAATCTGGGTTCATAAACCCTTAACACCGACATCAAAATACTAAATGGCGCAATCACAAATACTATCACAACCTGCGATCTGTTTTGATTTTTTGTTACATTCAACATTTAGATCTGCAAGTCATGCTGTTTTATTCATAACTTTCTGGTAGAAAACTCCTGATATTGGATGAGAAATATTTTATACGGGAAATTCTTTGAAATTTTATTTCAATTTTGTTTTATTTTTCATAAAAGTATTTTGATTGGGTACATTTTATTGAATATATTACTTTCGTATGCATTATTCGCTTTCGAAATTGTTGGTAATATGACTTATACTGGTGGATACAACACCAGAACACAATAATATTAGTAGCATTAATAGCAATAATTGGTAAACTAAACTTTAAAATTAATATTAGCACACTTGATTGCCAAATAATCGACTCAAAATTATTTTACGAAAGTATTTCTCCTGTTTCAATGTAAAGCGTGTAAATTTAAATTTAGTATACAATCAATTCCGGGTATTATATAGTCCGTCCAGAAAGTATCCGGAAAAAAGAAAGCAGAGTTATAATTTTACGGTATTTATTTCAATCATTTGAAATATAAAATTTCAACAAATAATTCATCATATTTACTTATATAACCTCCACTTAAATATAAACACTTAACTAAACCTCCTGGTACAACCGAAATTAGGTCAAGGCCATAATTTTCGGTAATGGTGTTACAAGCTTGTAAAACTGACCGAATCAAACCTTCTTTATCTCGTGGCGCTGCTCGTCCCACTTAATTTTCATCAGTACCCATATGTTTTCAATTAATCTGGAGAAGCTGCTGGCCACGGAATTGTTCCCAATTCGTGTTCTTGCATCCAAGCTTGAATATAACCAGAAGTATGACATCTTGCATGATCTTGCTGAAAACGCCACCCCTCTAGATAGAAAACACGAGCCGTTTCAAAAAGAAAACCATTTAGGATATCACAATATTTCGCACTATCAACAGTACCATAACTATACAGAAAGGTGTAGCACCACACTGATACATTGTTCCCCAAACCATTATTTCAGTGGGAAATTTGGAAATTTGAACGGTAACATTTTGTCTTGATAGGACTTTTAAATGATTTGCACCAAGCTGGAAACAACTTTCATCAGATATAAATACTATAAGATTATTAAAATTATCTTCCCGAAAACGTTGACAAAAATCTATTCTTCGTTGCCTTTGCAGAGGTGTCATTGTGGTGATTTTTTTTTTTGATTAAAGCCACTAAAGCATTTAAATTGTTTACGTGAATCTTACGCGGTTTACCTAAAACTGGTCTGTCTCATATCTATCCCATTTTTTATCCTTTTTATTGTCTCATACACTGCACTTTATCCGAGTTCAGTCAACTGCACTATTTTTTTAACGTTTCAGATATCCTTTCTATACAAATATACCACCACTTTTCTTTTTTCTACTTGCGGCAATATTTCACAAATCTTAAGTTTGTTTACAAACAACAATATTTGACAGATGGTGTCATGCGATTTTGTCCATAACCTACTATCGGCACAACCTACTTGATGCATTACTTTTGTCTTAAAATGTTATAAAAAGGAAATCTATTAAAATTAGGAAAAATATAAAATTCTGGATACTTTCTAGATGGACTATATTATTATATTTTTCCGGTAACAGCACAGAAGACCTGCATCACAAAAATGGTCTAGGTCTATTAGTAACATCAGAACTGAGTAAATATGTGACCAATTTCGTACCAGTCTCGGATCGAATAATATTACTCCAAATAAATACTCAATACTTGCAACTTCAACTTCGAAAGTGCATGGTTAAATGCTATATTTGGTCAGTCCTCTTATACGGTGTCGAAGCATGGACATTAAAAATATCCACCATTAATCGTCTGGAGGAAATTTCATGGACGGCTATGCTGACAAATGTGGCAGTCCTTGAGAGAGCAAATGCTGCTCGCAAGCTGCTTGATAACATCAAATGTAGAAAGATGGCTATTTTGGACACGTAGTAAGGGGAGACCGATATAATATTCTTCAACTTATTATGATGGGTAAAATCGAAGGACGCAGAGGAATTGGTAGAAAGCAGGCCTCTTGGTTGAAGAATATCAGGGAGTGGACAGGAATAAAGAAAGCTGAGCAACTCTTTAGAATAGCTCGAGACAGAGACAGTTTCGCCATGTTAATCGCCAACGTCAAGGGGACTTGATAGGGCACGTTAAGAAGAAGAAATTTTCAACCGTTTAAAACTAACATACTTCAAATCTATGCCCCGACCGCAGATAGAAAATATGAAGATGGAGTTGAGAAGTTGTATGATCATATCCAAGACATCTTGCAGAAACTTAATAAACACGAAATTTTATATATTCTAGGCGACTTCAATGCACAAATTGGAGAAGGTCGACGAGATCAGACTGTAGGTCCTTATGGTCTAGGACAACCTAACGATCGAGGACAGAGATTGTATGAATTCTGTAAAGAAAACGATATGATCATTGCAAACACCTGGTATAAACTACCCAAGCGCCGACTATACACTTGGAAAGCCCCGTTTAATGATGGCAATAACCCTGAGTCTTCAAGAAATCAAACAGAGTATATATACCTATACTTGTAAATTAGCGTTTCCGAAATGCCGTCAAAAAAGTCACTACATTTCCTGGAGCAGATATATCTGATCATCAACCACCATGTACACTGCAACACAGAAACAAAGGCGATTAGAATTTGCTTATGAACATTGGATTGGGATTAGGGATGTAAAAAACTTACCGATTTTAACCGAAAACCGGTTTTTTTACTTCGCAATAACCGGTTTTATAGGTTGTTTTTTTTGTCCCGGTTATAACCGGTTTTTATTTTAAAAGTAAAAGCAGGTTATTAGGTTTTTACGGTGATTAGGTTAGGTATTATTTTGGATCAGAATCATAATTATTCTTCTCAAGTAATTATTTCAAACAAAACCATAATTCAAATTTTATTTTATTTTATAAAAAATTATTGCAAACTAGAGTGCATTGTAAATGTAACTTTGTAACCTATTTAATTAAAAAATCCCAAAACCGGTTTTTAGGAAAAGTGTTTTTTTGGCCGGTTATAAGCGCCAGGTTAAACCGTAAGCAAAAAAAAAACGGTATAACCGAAAACCGGTATTTTATCAAAAAACACCATGCCTAATTGGGATGACTATCAATGCAGTCAGTATTCTCCGACGAAGGTAGAATCACGGCAACTACAAGAGGCGTCGAGTCTAGAGAAGGCCAGAAGAGCGATTTGCTCGATATTGTATATGAAAAACTGTGTCATATGGAGATGGTTCTTGTATGTTTTGGGCAGGCATGTTTCATGGATAGGAAAACTGAGTTGCTTTTTGTGCTTGGTGGAGGATATGGAGGAGGTCTAATGGCGGATCGAAATATCTGAGACATTTTAGAGAAACATATGATTTTATACGCGGTTTCTCTACATGAGAAATTTCTCTCTCCGATTGCCGACAAGAATGTAGAGCGTCAGAATAAATTTAATAATTTTAAACTGTTTGTCCTTTTGTTAATGTAGTGTTATGTACAATTTATGTCCATTTTCATGTGTATTACATTCTACGCTTGCTGGATAGTCCAAATTTGACGAAATGCCCCTGATGATGCTGTAGATAGCGAAAGTACTTGGGCAAGATTTGATTAAACTTGTGCTCGATATTTGCCCTAATTTTTAAAGTTCATTTATTCGAGCATTCAACCTCATATCAATTAATTATGTTTTTAGCTTTAATAATATACCTAAAAACTTTAATATTATAATTAAACATATAAGTCGAAGCAGAAGTTTATGATATCTTACATTTTGAGAGCAAAAATACATATATTGAAAGATACTGGCGTTTATTAAGCTGTTTTGAATAATTACATTTATCAAAGGGTTATATATACTAAATTTTCAATAGATTTAGTATATTATTACTTGTTATTAGCAAATGCTACTTGTTGCCACTTTTTTAATGATTAAAAAAATATTTAATACACGCTTCATTAAGTTTTTATACACTTTTTTTATTTTGTTTCAGTGATAATAAATTAGATTTAGAAGAATTTGGAGTACTCTGTCAAGCCTTATTCAGAAACAATAAAGGAGAAACGTACGAACTAAAAAATGAAGAATTACGAGATATATTCACGATTTTCGATGCAAATAACGACCAGTACATTGACAGACAGGAGTTTACCTACTGTTGGCATAACTGGATTAAAGTCGTACGTAACATTTTGTTTCAATACGCTACTTTAGTGGTGAGAGTAAATTGGAAAGTTTGATTGATGCTTTGATTATAAACAATTAAATTACATGTCTATATGGGTTTAGTTTAAAATAATCGTATATACTAATTTGGAATATATTATTTCAATCTAGAGATTTTGGAAGATAATTCCAATGAGACAAGTATAAGTTTCCAAAATAAAAGAAAATAATTGTTTAGGGTAATTTAAAAACTTTCTTGTGACGTAAATTTCAGCTACCATTTGGCTTTATTATTCATAGCTATGGAAATCAATTACTTACTAATCTGAAATATATTACTCCAGGTAATGGGGTTTGTATAATATCAATATAAATTCTCTAAATACTGGTGTGGTGTTACAGTAATTTTATTAGACAAAAATTATATACATTAATTTTCTTGCTGAGATCTCTTAAAAATTCTACACAAGTTGCAAATTTATCAACGTATGTATACACAAGGTTGCTGTATTTATGATAACAGATTATAACCCTGAGACAAATTTTAGAAAAAACAGTGGAATATGATATTAATACTCATCACATATTAATAGACTACAAAACAGCCTACGACTCTGTAATTAGAACAGAAATGTTTTGAGCAATGAAAGAGCTAGGAGTACCAAATCAGTTGGTAAATGCAACAAAACTAACTCTTAAATTTGAAAAAGTTACACGTAGAGTACAAATCCAGGAACAACCATCTGAATCTTCTAAACAAATACCGGGCTACGCCAGTGAGACCCCATCTCCTGTATACTGTTCAATCTAGCTCTGAAAAAAGTAATATGTATGTCACAAATCACAACCACCGGTTCAATATATAACAAATCAATACAGATCCTTGCCTACGCTGATGATATGAATATTATTAGAACGAAAAATGCTGTACGAGAGGCGTATGTAGCACTAAAAGAATCAGCTACAAAAATTGATTTAATAATAAACACCAACAAAACGTCCACGTCTTATAGAAACCGACATCACGTTATCAAAGCAGTTAAGTAATCTGTATACCTGATTTTACATCAAAAATGTGTCATTTAAGCATTTTATTTTTATCACCGTCAAAAGAAATTACTTTAAATTTCCTCGTCTTCTGGCCTCCTTTGTGCTAGTTGGGTCAGTAATTGTACCGAAATAACCTCAATTATAAAGAAATAAGATGCCGCATTGAAATTTCACGGTTAACTATTAACAGAATGAGAAAACTTTTCTGTAATCGCAATATCAATATAACGCTCTGAATAAGAATGCTTCGATGTTATATTTTCTCCACCCTTTTGTATGGTCTTGAGGCCCGGATACTAAAACAATCCAATATTAAACACCTGGAAGCTTTCGAAATGTAGTGTTACCAGCGTATTCTGAGAATATCATTGATGAAGCGTAGGAAGATGTAAAATATCGTAGCTACGCAAACTCCGTTAATGGTTTGAATGTAGTTCAATTAAACTATTCAGGCGCATAACCAACAAATTACCAGAATGATTTCCAACCTCCGATAGGAGCGGAACTCGTATGATCACCGACAAGAAGCAAATCTTTAGAAGATATTACAGTCCTGAATCAGTTTTCAACAGGTAGCGACTACAGAATGGTAAAAGCGTCGATAGAAATAGACCCTGGGAAAAGAAATACTGCATGATAAAAAAGAAGTGTATATCTACCTACCGAAGATACACAGTCAAAAAAATCATATATCGTAAGAATAAGTACCCAAACACAAAATAAAAGAAAGGATTGCAAAGTAATAAAAGCAAAAAAAAACATGAGCTTAAAGAGATAAGTAAAAGAATACAAAAATTTATTTTTATGTATGAGGATGGACAACCAAAAGCATTAAGTAAACAAATCCAACAAACGATTGAAAAGAACAAGAGTCTCAAAGTTCTAAGGAGAAAATTAACAAATGGCAAAAAGAAATAATGAAATTAAAGGATAGGAATGTAAATATCATCAGCAATAGATATGAATTAATTACTAAGAGTAGTGGAATTATACAAAAATTCAGAATTCAGAAAATGTAAACAATTCAGAAAAATGATTAGTCAACCAGGGATCAGAGTTGATGACTACTATATTAGCAGACGAAATAAGGAACGCACTAAAGAAAATGAAAAGAAATAAAGCTCCGTAAGAGCATAATATCGTTATAGAAGCCACAAAGATTGGAGGAGATAGATATTTAGAGAATATAAAGAAATTGTTCAACTCATGTCTATATCAAAGTAAAACACCTACAAGACGGCACAGTGCACTTACCATTTTATTACACAAAAAACGGCGATCTAACAGACAAATTGACTTGGCAAGACAAATAGACTGGAAATAAAATTAGATTTTTACCAATCTAGGAAACAGGCAGGTTTTAGTAAAAATTTTGGCACGATCGACCACCTCCACTCATAACACTAATTAGAGAAAAATCCATCAAATGTAATCGACCATTGGTTATGGCTTTTATAGACTTTCGAAAACCATTTGATACATTAGAAATTAACAGCGTATTGATAGTGGGACTAAATATATAAAACGTGGCCAAAAGTCCCGGAAACAAAGGCTTTTTTTTATAGAGATGTTCCACTGTTAAGTTGTCTACTGGAAAATTGGCACAATTGAATTCCGGTCATAGAAACCGCTGGCCGATTTATTTTCAAGTTACAGGGTAGGTCTAAAGGTCGATTCAGACACATCAGTCACGTCTCGTCACAGTGATTGCGCCGAACCGAACAATCCGTCATACAAAATATTCTTTAATACAAATATGTTGCCGGCATTCACACTCATCAGTTGACAAACAGTTTCCCAGCTGTCAGATAGTTGATAGTTCTGTGACCAAACAAGACCGGTTCGGCGCCGAGACTATGACGGGACTGATGTGTCTGAATCGACCTAAACACGGCATATTTTCGTTAGTCAGGCGCGGGAACGTAAAAGGCAGTGCGTCTTTAAACGTTGACCAACTGTTTCTCTACAGTGTTATCAGATATAAAACATGGATAATGTTTCATGTATATACTCTGTTTTTCAATGCTTTGCGTTTTTAAAAAAATATAGTGACAATAGTTTGTTTAAAAACAATTTCTGAACAAAAATATGTAAAAATAAAACAAAAACTTCGTTTCAACCTAACAAACAAGCGTAGGATTTTGTTTACTTATTGAGGGAATGAAATTAAATAAAAATAATACCTATTTTTAATTTATTGTCTCTTAAACATTAACAAAACACCAAACAAAAACGATTTAAAACAAAAACAAACAACTCAAATTTAATTATATCGAGCTGGTTATGATTATATCATAGATATTTAGATAACAACACTTAATAACAATTATTCTCAATTGCATCAGTAATAAAAAAAAATAAGAACAATATTGGAAATATATTCATACATTGTAAAAAATTATTTAGTAATTTCATCGACACATTGAGTACATTTTTCACAAAAAGGAGTCACATGTTCTAAGCAAACGAAATGTTTACAACGATGACATGTGAATCTAATCTTCCTGCTTTTTTAACTGGAACAAAGAAACATCGGGCATTTGTATTATCTCTTGAAAGTTCCTATTCAACCTCGGTAATAGTATATATTTCCTGAATTCTCAGTTTTATTATTCTCGGTACACCGATGAGGTTAGTGCGCTTTCTCGCGTGTGCTTCAACTAATTGGTGCCCAAGATCCTACAAAAAATTTCTTCTCGCTATTTTTTTTTTGTGTTAAATTATTGTCAAATATAACAGATGAGTTAATAACAGCTATATTTAACAATCCATAGAAAATTCCCATCGGCCAACGTCTTGTGGTTCGAGCACAGTCATAAGCTTCACTCAATTTGTCGACCATGTCCACATTTCCTTTCGTCTTGTTATAATCACAAATTATATCTGGTCTTCATGTTTATTTCATCATCACGGTGCATTGTGGAAAAAACAAATACATTTTTATTTTTTCTTGGAATGTATGAAACTAAAGTTGTTTTGTCTTGAAATACAAACATAATAGATTTTTTATGCCTATTCATTTTCATTTCAGCTGGTATTTGAGGTTTGTTTTTCCTAAGAGTTTCAATTTTCGTAAGTCCATGATCGTTAAAAAGTTTATTCATCATCGTTACATTACATTATCGTTACATTACGTTTGGATCCCTATATTGGTTGACATAATCTTGGTACTAAGGAAGTATTGGAAGTATCCTGCTCATACGGCTCTATTGGCTGTTTTCCGACATATACAAAGCACTTCAGCGTCAGCTTTAGAATATATCTTCAAACCATACCTATTTGGTTTGGATGGTATATATACTCTAAATCCGCACGACCTCTAAATACCCATAACATCTCATCAACTGTGGCGTACTGTGAAATAGAGAAGTACAGAAGTTGAAGTCTTCAACTCATTAAACAGTTCTCGGATGGCAGCCAGTTTATCAACAGATTGTCTCTCTGGTCTTGAGGTAGTCTCGTCAAAACGCAAATTCTGCAGTAACAGTTTGAATTTTTCCATCGACATGGTTAACAGATTTCAACGTTCAACAAATTTCTGTGCTCATACCATTAGTTCTGAAAAGGTCCGAAGCATTTTGATAATTTTGTCTGTCTTTACCAGCAATATAGCGTAATCCGAATAAGGCTTTCAGTTCATCCATATCTGGTATATTGTTTTAATTCGATATGTCGGTTTGTGTAGAATACTATTTTTTCTAATATCCCTTTTGTGAAAAACAAACTCCATATTTCCATTGATGTTTTCTTGTGCCTACTTTCACCTTTTACTTCTTGCAATTGGGTTACTAAATTGTCAGCACGGGTTCGCACGTTTTTGCGTTGATATAAATGTTTTTTCCATCAAGCACCGTCACGTCCACAAAAACAAGGTTCACGGATCGTTCTTGCAACTGCCAAAACAGAGGCTATGTCATGGTCGGGCACATCTTGTTCTGAATCGCTATTCTTATTTTGAACTTCT